CTTGGGGGGAAATGGCCGCACCACAATCCCTTCTCCTCCATTCTCCTCTTGGGATTTTGGGCACATGCACCCAGCATGTTCTTCAAGCTGCTGGGTCTGGGACTTAAACTGTGCAGTGTGCCAAGTGGGATCCAGCCACCTTAACCACCACACCACCCGCCAAGCATGTGCAGACCATCTCAGTGCCTTGGAGGCCACTCCTCTGGCCCGGCCTACAGTGACTCTCACATGCAGGTGTCACCCACTTCTTTCTCCTGTCTGCTATTCCTCCATCTGCTCCCTTCTCCCAGGTAACACTTGTGGGTTCTGAACACATTTCACTGTTTGGAGTTCGTGACTTTGCTTCTTATTCATCCTGATGCTTGGGAAGATTTAAGGTAAAAAGATATTTGGAGATATGTTCACTCTGTCGTTATGAAATCAAGAACTTTCAAGTCAGTTTTATAATTTGTAAAAAAAATAACCCGTCTCTTCTAACGTAGAGTAGTCTTTCAAGTCAGTTTTATAATTTGTAAAAAAACAACCCGTCTCTTCTAACGTGGCGCAGTGGCTGTGTGGGAACCCCAGCAGGGTGAGCATCTCCCGCTAATCTCCCATCCAGGATGCAGCTACAGTGTGCGATGCCCTACAGAACCAGCAGCGAGTCTAGACTGGACCCCCACCAAATCATTTCACCTGAAATGAGGATGTTTACGAAACTTAATTTGATCATAATGCACTTACACTTCCATGGGTTTTGCAATTTGTCCAAGTCTTTTTTGGGGGTGGAAGTGGGGTTAAAACACCTGCTCTTTGTCTCTAGAACAAGCAGTAACACACCACACAGCACATGAGGAAGGGGCCACCGTGTCAAGTAGTTGGCTCAAGGCCATGCGGTTAGTTTGGCATAGTGGGGGCTAGAGTCTAGGTCCTCCGACTCTACAGGAGGGGTCTCTTATGTCACCACCTCCCGAACATAGGTGCCAGACTGCTGAGAGTGCTAACAGCCCCCAAGTGCAGGGACAGGGTAAGAGCGTGGATAGTGTCGGGCCCTCAAGTGCTTCTGACACCCAGCCCTCTGACCTCCTGAGTGAGCCAGAGTAATGCCCCCGTTCCCTGACCCAGCCGGCACAGTCGTACCCATTTTTTAGCATATTCTAAGTTTGATGCTTAGTTTGATGCTCGCTGAGAGGGAGAGCACCCAGCCATCACTACCACCCTGGACAGAGCAGGGGAACCAGGGCCTGAGAGACAGGCTTGACCACTCCAGGCCTTATGGCCATGGGTGACAAAGGGGTGTAGCTAAGCTCAGTTTTCTAGCTCCCTCCTCCTTTCTCTTCCAGAAAGGCAGGAGGAAAGGGGGAGACTGCCTGACTCCCTGTCTGCAGCCACAGCACACCCTGGGAGGAGCGGGCCCACGGAGGAGGGAGGAGCCCTGCATGCACATGGCCTCTGAGGTTCTGTCCCACCCACAGGAAGGCCACACCTGCATGTGGCCTCAGCTCCTCAGAAACACGCTAGCAACTGTGGAGGCAGCGGCAAGTTCTTTCAGATAAACCCAGACAGTGTTAGTGCTTCTGCTTTCATGTGAGGTGTTTTTTGTTTGTTTGTTTGTTTGTTTTAACAAAAACATAGAAAAAGATACATACCTAAGCTGAATTCTAAAATGGGCTCATCTGGATCTTGTATATTTCCTGAAAAGAAAATAAAAGACAGAAAAACCACCTCAATAAATTTTTCCTTGTTTTAAGATTTAATGCTAAAAATCATTTTTTCTCCCCAAAGAAATGTTATATAAGATGATATCTTCATTTCTAAATATTTTGCTTTTGAGATTTCTGAGAAGTCTCAGCCCCCAAGCCCACCCCCTTCTTTTGCAGTCTGCATGGCCACGCATTGCCAGCCAGAAGCCGTGGGCATTCCCTGGCAGAGAGGCCGTGGAGGCGCTGCCTACACCGGGAAACTGAGGGTGGTCAGGTTCTAGTGGGAGCAGTTCCCAGGAGGAGGCTCTCATCCCCCTCACTGAACATTTACTTTGCTGGTACCACCAGAAGGGTGCCGCACCAGGGCACAGTCCAGCCAGGAGCAGTCCTAGAAGGCTTGTCCTGGCTGTCTGCCCGGTGCCCCAGGGGGCAAGTTTCGCCCTCCCTGCACTGCTACAGGAGCCTGGTGCAGCAGGCCCATGAGGCTTACCTGCCAGAGAGAGGCCCAGCATGTCAGCCGCCACATCGATGGTGGAAGCCCGCTGCATCGCACGGGCCCTGGCCCCATGGCGAGGGCTGTGCTCTCTTGCTGTCATGATGTCATTGGTGATGATGTGCTTCCTGTTCCTGGGTCACACCACAGCTGCGTCCCGGGAAGAGCTATCACCAAGCCCTAGTTGCTAAGGAGGCAGCAGCCCTGAGAAGCAGGAGCAAACAGGTAAGAAAGCACAGGGATGGCGACTGAGAGACACGGCCTTCAGGGAGAGAGAACATGACTGAGGGCTTCTGGCGAGTGAGAAACCAGGGTGGGGTGTTGGCTACTCGCAGCCTCCCCAGTCATCTTCTCCTCCCCACGCTCCAACACAGTATGCCCGTGGGTCCCATAAAAAAAAACACATTCTTTTCAACTGAGATAGGCCACATTAAATGGTGGTATATACCTCATCAGAAAATATGGCCTCAGAGAGTTTCTTGTTTGCTTTATTATGCCCATCTGTTGGCGAAGCTCGTAGAACTTGTAGATTTTTGAAACAATTCACTGTACCGTCTGTTATAGAAGGGGAAGAGCTGCAAGAAGAGGTGTGTGCCCACAGGCTCTCGAGCCTGGCAGAGCACCAGACGCAGGCTCACACCTCCAGCTCATCCTTTCTTCCCGGAGCTCCACGATGTCATGGGAGCCTCCGTCTCGAGTTTCTCTCCTCACCTAAGTGATAACCTCCACCCAGCCAAGATGGAAGGTGCTGGGCTATGGGCAGGGAGGGCTCTGGGCAAAACACCCCCACAGGCCGAGTCAGACAGACGCTGGGTACAGCGGCAAGAAGTGAGCTGGTTTTTCCAACCCGACGTGCTACAGCACCTGTTCTCTCTAAGAGGGACCAACCTTTACAAGTCCAGGTAACCAGACTGAGCAGTAAGCCCGGTTTGCCGCGCCCTCAGGGTCTCCATGTAGCCAGAGACACCTGTCACCTGTGCCTGAAGGGCCTGGGCTTTGCTCGAGTGAATTCACCAAGCCACTTACTGGACATGTCTGCTCTCGGACCACGCGTCATTTCTTCATAGGAGCACGTCCACATCCATCATCTGAAAATAGAAAAGTATAAACTGAACACTGGACGAACACAAGCCTCTCAAGAACATTTAGAATTGCAATGCCTAGAAATGGGGGAGCCAAGAGATACGCCATGTTCCTTTGAGCTCTGCACCCCCACTAACCTTTTGACTAAAAAACACAAGTTTTTCTCAAATCTATAAGAATGGGAGAGAAAAAGTGCACATTCCTCTGGCCCCTCCAGGGTGATCTAGGGGGTCGGGCCTGCCCTAAAAAGTGAGGAGGACAGTTGCAATGTGACTTAGGGAAAATGACATGAGAATCTGGGCCCTAGTTTTCCTGCTCACAAACCACAGACTCCAGATAACCTGCACGGCCCTCGGACCTGAGGCTCTGCTCTGAGGTGTCTCCGATGAAGCCAGCTGCACCCATCTCATGGGGCTGCAGCAAAGACAAAACATACTCTGCAAACTCCACAAGGCTCCCACTCCACTACTGCCACCTGCCTCCTGCCCCATCTTAGAGAACGGAACCCCCAGGTCCCAGCAAGTCCTGGCCTGCCCAGGGCTGCTGAGACCAGCCTTGCAGCTCAGCTCATGAGCCCATGAAGTGCAGAGGTCAGCAAGAGCAGTGCCTCCCCCTAGCAAGCTGTGCCTCCATCCCTCCTGCATCCCGGGTCCTCAGGTGAGTAGGTGTAGCCTGGCAGGGGAGCCACGGCACACATCAGCGAGGAGAGGACTCACCAAAAGTGAGTCTTTACCAGGAAATATAATACAAGTGGTGAAACCAGAAAAGTACTTGTAGAACTAAAACCTGCATTATACAATTATGCTTGTGTGAATTACCAAAAAGCTCACTAACTATGCAAGTGCTAAGTGCTATAAATTCTTAAAATAAGAATATAATTGGAAAATATGTTGGGAAAGAACTTGTAACAATTAAAGCAATGCCAAATACACCTATCTTCACTCAAGTGAGTCCTCCAAGAGAGGTCTGTTGGATCTTCTAGTGGAAATACGCATTGCTGGAGGACTGGGGAAACAGGCTAGGGTTCTGACTAGTGCTGCTTGTGGAGTGGTATGATAACTCAGAAAACAATTTATCAAAATTGTAAACAATACAGAAAATTGTAATGGTAACATTCTTGCCAATAATTCAGAATACGGAAAAGACTACCTCACAAAAATGTTTATGATAGAAAGACTTCTTGCAAGAAGAACTGGAAGCCATTTAAATGCCCAGCTATAGATAAGTATTGGATTGTCAGGAAAGTCCTGATGCACTTTTACATAGAAAAATATTACGACTTTCCCAATGACCTAATATACTTTAGAATCCATAAGACAAGGGTTATACAGCTGTTAAAATGATCGAGACCAGCAGATGACGGAACAGTTATGTCGTTGGACTCCCACACAGTCAACAGTGGTTGAAGTCCCAGACCTAGCAGCTTGAAACTCATGCCAGGCATGTGTGTGTGTGTGCGTGTGTGTGTGTGCGTGTGTGTGTGCCCAAAATCCAGAGAGGAGAATAAAAGAGAAAGGCAGTGTGGCCATCCCCCCACCCCATGGGGGGTGTGATATCTCACTTTCTGTCTCTCTGGCAAGCGCACATGCCCTATAGCAAAAATCTCTCTTAAAAAACATAATAAAGCCAATAAACACATGAAAAGTTCTCGATCTCAATGGGCACCAGGGACATGCAAACTAGAACAGCTAAAATGAAAAAGACAAATCCAAGTGCTGACAAGGATGTGGAAGGATGAACTGACCTGCAGGTGGAGGAGAGATGGCCCAGTCACTCTGAAAAACTGGCAAGCTCTACTCAATCCGAACACGCACCTACTCTGTGACCTGGTATATAACTCACAATAGAATTGCTAACAGAAATACATACATATGTTCACCCCAAAAAATATAGAGGGACTTTAGAGCACCAACATTCACAATAGCACAGTATTAGAGACAATCCAAAACAGCAGAATGAATGAAACAATGGATGAAACTCAGAAACCATGCCAAGGGAAAAGCCAAACCACAGGAGCCCATTCTAAGGCAAGCCCATTTACATGAAGTTCAAGTCCAGGCCAAATGAATCCATGGTGTTAGGAGGGAGGAGAGTGGAATCTTAGAGAGGTAGTTACTGACTGAGGAGGACGTGGCAGCCTCCTGGGGCTCTGAAAACGGACACTGTTTCTTGATCTGAGTGCTGGATCCCTGAGTGACTTTACTCTGCAGAAATGCACTGGGCTGTCCACAAGTGATTTTCATACCTCCATATAAAGAGTGTTTGATTCTTTGAGTGACTGTAATAAAGACCACAGAGCACGCAAAACTGTTGACATTGGTTCGACATCACGTGTGTCTGTAATGACGCATTTCCCCCCGCCCCCTGCTCTGGGAACAGCCATGTAAGCAGATCCGATGCAGAGGGGAAGGGCGGACAGGAGACTGTGGAGATGATGGCTGCGTTTGGGGGTGTGATCACGAGGAACCGTCTTCTGCCTTCCCTTATTGTCACCCTCTTGCCTCACTGAAGGCTGCAGCCCAGGCTGGTCAGAGGCAGCTAACTGAGCATGCCCTGAGCTCAAGGAAGGAGTTCTTTCCTGGTGAACCTTCCAAGCATGGATCGCTCCAAGCCTGCCCTGCTGTCCCCGGCCTCTCAGCTTCTCGGTGAAGTTGCCAGTCAGTGCCTTTGCTTGGGTTGGGGGAGACATGCCACCCAACAGAGGACCCCACCTGTATCCTGACATTCCTGCCAGTCCCAAGGAGGTCTGCAAATCCCTGACCCGCTCTTACCCCTGCTGGCCTCCCCCACTGGGCCGTGCTCACTCCGCCTGTCCAGCTCTCCCTGAGCACAGCAGTTTGTACTATAACTAGGCATCGGGAGGTGCCTGGAGACAGATATCCCTGAATCACCTACAGACAAATTTTACACGTGAGAGAGTTCACAGGGCAGAGAAAATTCTAGGTCAAAAAGACCTTAGAAGCCACTTTATAGTTATTTGGGGGTATTTAATTAGAATTTTCAATTTAATCATCCAGCCCCAGAACTCAAAGCTAATTTGCATGGCTGAACTCGATTTCCCATCTTAGTCTCATTAATTGAAGGCAATTCACCAAGGATTCTTATATTCCCTAGGTCCCTGTTTTTCCTCCCAGCCCCATTTGAAGACCAAAGCTCATTAGGGGAAAAAAAAAAATCACTTAAATCAAAGAGGACAGAGTGTGTGGGAGGACTAGTATTTTTTCTCAGGGGCAAGAAAGAAAGAAAGAAGCAGTAACTCATGGCACTAACTGCCTCCTCCCCTCACCCTGTAGGGTCAGTGATCTCTTTGGACACGAGGACACGGGTCATCTGATCTACAGCAAAGACGGCAAACCCTGAGGTCTCATCCCCCTGTGTCCCTTCCCCTAATGTGTCCCCTCACTCTAAGGGAGACGGTGGTGAGAGAATCACTAGTAACCTGGAGATCATGCCAGGAGGATTCTCAAGGGTGATGGAATTAGCAAAGGCTGAGAAGGATCCTCAACAGCTCCTCAAGGAACCAGTCATGGGAAAGGTCCGCCAGCCCTCCTCAACAGAACGAAGGAACGTCAGGCCTGGAAGGACTGCTGGAGGCCCCGGGCTCAGTGACCTCTCAGGGGCTGCTGAGCTGGAGGAGAGGGGGCCGAATTAACCATGAAAGCTTCATTTTCGTCCAGTTTATACATGCAGGTTCTTCTGAAAATAATTTTTACAAGTTATTTTTACAAATAATTCTTACAAGGACTTGCGTAGCTGAGGTCAGGGAAGTGCAGACGGGGTGAGCTTTTGAAGGCCACATGAAGGTGAAGAGTGAACTATCAGAATCAGCCCAGAGCAAAAGGCCCGAGTGGGGCCCCTCTCCCTGCCCGACTCATCCTACCGTCCCACCCTTCCAGCCGTATTGTCACCGTGGGCTAACGGGCTGACACCTTCGCCGGGCCTCTGCTCTCCAGACACAGGCAGCAGAGAGAAAGCGAAATGAAAAGCTGGAGTGAATCAGAGCGTGAGTCAGCAGCCCTCGAGAAGAGGCTATTGTAGGAAGCAGAAAGAGGAAGAACTTTCTTCTAAAACCCCCAAATCCAGGATAGCTGAAATCACTGGTCTATGAGATGTCAGACCATTCACTGACACAAAAATTGCTATTAATAATAACCTCAGACAAACATCACCTTCCTGCCTGAGCCTTTCCTGTAGACAGATCTTTCCTTACAAGGGTCCCCCAACACAGCTCGGCACGTGTGTACCTCATGATATCCCCTTCCTTGTGTGACTCGTGGAATGACCATCTGGGCACCTTGTGTCTTTAAGTGCCGGAATTAAACTCCTAGCTTCTTCCATATTCTGCTGGGTGCCTAGTTCAAGCCTAGTCATTGCCCAGGGTGTCTATCAAACACATGCTGAGCAAACAAACCATCAACGACCGTGATAGAAACTGCACTTGTTCTTAGGGGCTGGCTTTTCCCCCCTCCCAGGCACACCACACTGACAGATCATTCTCTGCAGCCCCTTCCAGCGAGATCAAATGTGTGGCTGAGCGCAGAAGGGGCGAGCATCTGCCTGGGCGTGCAGAGCAGAGTCGTGCATATGGCTCTCCAGCTCTCCCTCTGCCTGGATTCCTGGCTGGATGCAGTGGATTGGGCGGGTTATTCCAAGGCCTCCGGGTCACTAGTTGGAAGGAGACGAGGTCTCTGGAACTGTGTGGAGCAGAGTGCCAGTTCTCTGCTCCCACTCCCCCACATAGCACTTACATTGGCCTTAACTTGAATAAGAAATAAACCTTTGTCGTATGAAACTGTTGAGGTGTGGGTGGGGAGTTTGCTGTAGTAGCCACTGTTAGGTGCCCTGACTAAAGTCTAGTGCATACCACACATGAAATAAATGGCTATGATGAAAATTGAAACTATAACCACCATTAATACTACATAGCCTGAAAAGGAATGCAGTTTGTTCTTTGGAAGAGGTATGGCTAGTTCCAGAGAAGAGAGCCCACAGGTGGTAGGGAGAT